GTTGTACCCAAATCTTCTTATTTGCCTCTTCAAGCCTACTCCTTTTTTTCCTTTTGATTGTTCCAACATGCTGGGAGATGAAGTTTATCTTTATCTTCCCCAATACATGAACAATTATTGACCAGAGCCTCTTTCCCAGTGAAAATAGCTCGTTAAACCCGGTTTTTCAAATACGGGTCGACAATCAGCTAACAATCAGCATTTGGCTCCCTTCCCATTGGCTAATAAAGCTGGTCTAGCCCCTCCCTGCGTGGGGTCTTTCTCCTTCCCCGGCTAACTGCCTGGTGACGCCATCAAGCTGGGTTAGCGCTGATGATGTCACCAGTGCGGCAGAAATCAGGAAAGTAAACAATGGAGACTAACATGTCAGGAAGCCAGGGCGTAGTCAGTGAGCTTTATTGTTTCACACTACTATCTGTCTGAATAACATTGACCCGGTGAAACCTGTTGCCTTTTAATGTGGGTTTGAATTTTACCTGAGCTGGGATTGCAGTTTGGCTCCTTTGGATACGAAGTCCTCCCAGGTGGGATAACTGGCCTGCAGCAAGCAAAGGGAAACACAGAAACATCAGGTGAATTCACATCTCTAAGCTTCACAAGGTTCATTCGTTTCAAAGAAAGTTCTGATTGGACCTGGAGAGAAACTGGTTCTGCTGAGGAAGGGGTCAGAACCCTCTCACACTGCTGCTTCTCTAGGATCCAGTGTCCATATATATCTATTTATCCATCTATAGATATATATAGATAGATATAGATATAGATTAAAGCGAAGGTTGCATTTCTGAATTCTCCGACTTTACAGGAGTGAATGTGATTGGTCGTTTATTAAGGGGGGCGGGATTGTTGTGGCGGAAGGTTCGCAACCATGTCAAATCAAACATTTTTGATTTTCTCCCGACCATCGTAGGCAAATGCGCAAAAAAGGATTCTTCTTTTTATTCTCCCTCTCAGACGTAAACCCAGCAGCATGGCAGAGATGCAATGAGTGAAATGCAGTTCTGTCTGTAAAATTGACAGACCATAGCAGCCACGTTTGCTCAGCCATGTCTTTTTTTTCCAAATACGTTGTTGCCTTTTCTTTTTAGAACTCTCAGCACAAACTTGCACAAATTGCCAAGGCAGCGTGGTTCAGTATAGTGAGCTTAATATCCCCCTTTTATTTGTTTGGCTGCAGGATAGAGCGCTACAGAGCAGCTCGATCTCACTGGTTTTTAGTGGTGCAGTGTAAGCAGGTAGATCGCATCAGAGCGTTGGGCCGAAAATAAATCGTGAATTCGGCCCATTTAGAAAAAAACCCACCAAAACTTAATAATGAATATTTGAAATAAAGCCCATAAACAAAGCAGAGTGGGCTTCAGGTTGCACTGGTCACCTCCATGGAGCCCAACTGAATGTGACAGAACCAGGATTAAGCTCCTCCCTCTAATCTTTTTCAGAACGCCTGGTCTAATTTGGACCAAACAACGGTCTGATTCTGATTCGGATTCAATCGGATGATTGCTGCATTATTTTACTTCAGAGAACTCCTGAGCTGATCATTAAAGGGGTGAACGTAGCAGAAAGTGCACGTTGGTACCTTAAAACCTTCAGAGTCCTTCAGAAGCTGAAAACGGATCCGTAAGAAGCAGCTGCTGTTGATCTAGAGCAGGGGTCTGCAAACCTGTGGCTCCGGAGCCGCATGTGGCTCTTTGGATGCTCTACAATGGCTCTTAAGAGTGGCTTAAAATGAGACAAAGAACTAAATAATGTAGTATAAGAACTAATATCAGTCTTAGACGCTTTTGGGGCTTTTATAAAAAATATTGGAAAGCACCAGAGATAAATATGAGCTATTTTTCCTTTAATCAGGTTGACAACTAGGTGATTTATTATTATGTTTGTTTTTTTTACATCAAATAACACCCTATAGGACAAAATCCATGCTTTAGTTATATGAATCATTTTATGTTTTTCCTTATTTAAAAAAAAAAATAAAAAGTCCTTGGTTATTTAAAATGGTAACAGAATTCTAATGGCAGATATATAAATATTTTTTTCATTAAAAAAAAATCATGTAATATTTTTTGGCTCTAAACGAGTTTTAATAAGCTTGCTCTTTAGGTTGTTTCCCTGATCTAGAGGAATCTGCCTAAACTTGGGCCCAGATCCTACTTTCCCTTTTCCCTGAATCCAGATCAGCCTGTCTGCTCTCAGGCTCTGCTGGGGCACTGAGGTGAGGATAATACCGATTTAACCCATTAACACACCATTAGCCTCTTAACTCTGCACCACGCAGCCCGGGACCCACTGGGTTACCGTCTGCAGCAGGAGCAGACAGCAGGTCCACCCGGAGCAGGAAGTGATTATTTCTGTTACCCCTCGGCGCAGGAGGACTGCCTTCACTTCACTCAGGGTTTCCTTCAATCCTCTGTCTCTTTGAGACGTTATGAGGACATTATTAACGCCAGAACCACAGTAAATATTTTATTCTCCTGTTTCTGCTGATTCCTACCAGTCATTCTTCACGCCAAATGATCTGATATCCTACATTTGGCGTACCATTAACCCATCCTGCATGTCTAACCGTTCAGCAGACATTACGTAACGGTTAGCTGCAGTTGTGACTGAAGAAGACGGTGAAAATGGGTTTAAACCAGAGTGTCAGGCACCAAACCAAACAAACAGCTGCTTTTACTTTTGAAGGTCTTTTCCTTTTCCCCCACCGTTTCTCGCCTCAACATAAAATTCTCCAGAGATCTGTTGTTTTTGCCAGGAATGTCACGGTGAGTCGCAGACTAAATATTCTTGCCGCAGCTCCGGGAGACCATAGACAGACGTGGCATCGGGACCCAAAGAGCTTTCAGAGCAGCAGTGGCTAAATTAGGACCAGGTGACCCTTGGAGGTCGCTGATGGTCTGCAGGGGTTCCCCAGGCAGCTGCCAAACCAACAGCTGTCTGTTCGTATCTATTTTAGTGTGACCACAACACCGCAGCTTCTACAAAGGAAATAGTGACGACGCTTTGGACGAAGGAACATGCAAAAGATAAAGACATTTATTAAAAGCTGCCATAAGGAGCCTAATAAACACCTGCTGTGACAATAACAAGGGTTATATTAATAATAAGTTTCACAGTTAAAGAGTGGAGCTGCTGTTTTAAAGGAAAAGTCCGCTCATATTCAGAATTCAAACTTCTGAAAGTC